TTGGTCTTTTACATTCCGTAGCTTGACTGTTGAGAGTATTTCAATATACATATCTGATTTCAGGAAGCTGAAATTGATGATATCCATCAGCTAGTTGTGGGTGCAACAGAGAACATCAAGGAAGGCAATGAAGACATACGAGAGGTAACGTAAACAATATATATTTGTGTGTGTGTGTGTGTGTGTGTGTGTGTACTATCAAATGTTTCTCCATTCAAGTGTGACATGCCCCGTCTTAGCAGCCTGACCAGAAAAAGATCCAGGAGACACTGCCAGTTATGCCTACTATGAGAGCTCTTGCTGAAGGGTCCCATCTTGACCTGCTGAGACGTACAGACTTTGGGCTTTGCTTCTGAAAGAAAGTTCTCTCCATGGAGCCTCTCAGAGTTTCCTTGGGAGATGCACGCCTCCGCACTGGGCAAGGAAGGGACGCTTCTGGTCTCTCTCCCAAAAAGAGATTTGGAGTCTCGCTGGTTTAAAGTGGTATTAGAGACATTTGCTGGACTTCCGTTTCCGAGGGCAACCATTTTGGGCTGCAGCAGAACACTTAGATCCAGGAGCCCCTTCGAGACCAACTAGAGTTTCAGGAGGAGGTCAGCTTTTGAGAGTCACAGCAGAGCTTGCCCCCTGAAACTCTTGCCGGTCTCCGAGATGCTCCTGGATTCGAGTCTACCCGTCGCTGGACTTTGGCTTTCTTATGGAGTGTAATCGATTTATTGCCCCTCGCCTGAAGTAACCTGAAACCAGCTCTGTTTGGATCAGCGCTGCACCTGACACGCAGCAGGACTTCACACGTTCTGAGGCATCCTCCCTTCCCAGAACTCTCTGTGCATTTTTTGTAACATCCAGCCTGCAGGAGAGTTCTGGAGAACTCAGACGTTTGCACGCATATGCCGTTTCATTGGTCCTAACAAAAGGATATTCAAGTATATTGTGCTCTTGGGTTTTGCTTTTGGACTGACACGGCTGTCAACAGCTTCCTGTTGTAGCTTAGCTGGCCTTGTCTCCTGGTCTGGTTTGCTTTTTCTACAACAGGAAATAAAAACTCTCATTTTTATCTGACAGTTGACAGTTGACATCTATGTGGTTTCAGCAACTGAGAAAACAACTTAAATAGGAATAATATTCAGGGAGTACTTAAAAGCGTTTATGTTTTGTAGCTTCCGTCCACAGTGCTCTCCCGACCTTCGAATCATAGAGCTGGAAGGGCCCTTCTAGGCCATCTGCCTCAACCCCCTGGCTCAGTGCAGGGTCAGCCTAAAGCATCCCCGAGCAGTGTTTGTCCAGCTGCCAGAGAGGGGGAGCCCACCACCTCCCTAGCTCTTCAAGGGGCTCCCGAGGAAAGGGGAAGGTGGGGAGAAGTGGGGAGAGGTCTGCCATACAGGACCCAGTCCAGCTGTGAGGTTGGTTTGATGCAGCCTGAGTGCTTCACCACCACCCCTTCACTTCCTGCAGAACACGACCGAGGGGTTCCTGGTTTTGGAAACCTCCCATCCTGAGCTGCAGGGAAGAAATGCTGGCCAGATTGCCCAGCCCCACCCCCCGCCATTGGACATCATGGCAAACTAGAATTGCATTGGAGGCTTCTGAAAGCAGGGAGCCTTCAGATAAGCATATGGAGCAGAGGTCCATCAGTGGCCATTAGCCACAAGGTATAGGTAGGGACTCTGGGGCAAGGGATGCTCTGTCTTCTTGGTGCTTGGTGGGGGTCAACAGTGGGGGGGGGCTTCCAGCATCCTGGCCCCACTGGTGGACCTCCTGATGGCACTGGTATTTCTGGCCACTGTGTGATACAGAGTGTTGGGCTGGATGGGCCTCTGGCCTGATCCAACATTGGCGTCTCTTACGTTCTTATGTTCTTCTGTGGACGAGGGACCCAGGTTCCTCCTCACCATAAACAAATGCCTGAATGTTGTCGAAGGCTTTCACAGCCAGAGTTCCTTAGTTGCTGTAGATTTTCCGGGCTGTATGGCCGTGGTCTTGGCATTGTAGAACCTGACGTTTTGCACAGCTACTGGCGAAACGTCGGGTTCTACAATGCCAAGACCACGGCCACACAACCCGGAAAATCTACAGCAACTAATGCCTGAATGCTTCTTCTGCCTGCTTGTGACACTGTGGGAAACGGTTAACACCAGTTATTTGTCTACAGGCCATCAAGAATAATGCCGGATTTCGTGTGTGGATCCTCTTCTTCCTGGTGATGTGCTCCTTTTCTCTGCTGTTCTTGGACTGGTACGGCAGGTAGACCCCCCCCCCCCCCACCCCGCCACGGACGTGTGCCCAAAACCCAAGTCAATAGGAGCCCACCGTCAACTGACTGAAGATATTTTCTTTGCGAAGCAGGACGCATTGTACCTCGTGCATCATGACGGAAATATATAATGTCCAGAGGCAACATGCAGAGTCCTGTACGCTCTCGTGTGGAGTAACTGAGTCACATTTATTTTTGACGCCACTTGAGAATGTGTTAAATAGATCCCAGCTTAAAAAGTTAAACCGTGCGACTGATAAAATAGCAGGAAGTTCTCATAAAGGGCGGTGGCCATCCCCGGATAAAGAAGTTGTTTCCTGGCTGAGCTACCAAGATTAGTGGGGAGTCTGAAAAGGAAGCTGGCACAAGGGGGTGACCAGAAAGCGCTTTCTCCAACATGTTTGTAAAGCTGATTTTAATTCCACCGTCTCCCAATCAATTCAAAGCAAAGGGGCACGGCCGCGAGTAATTCCGTAGCAGCACTCGCATCACGGTGATGGTCCCTGGGGCCCTTGCTTGCCTGTTGACTCCACTGACATCCATTGTAAAGAGTCTGCAGAGTCAACTGCATGCCAGAGTCAACGGAGAGCCAGTTTGGTGTAGTGGTTAAGTGCACGGACTCTAATCTGGGAGAACCGGGTTTGATTCCCCCACTCCCCCACTTGCAGCTGTCATAGTTCTGACAAGAGCTGTTCTCTCAAGGGCAGTTCTGGAAAGAGCTCTCTCAGCCCCGCCTACCTCACAGGGTGTCTGTTGTGGGGAGGGGAAGGAGTTTGTAAGCTGCTCTGAGACTGAAGGGTGGGGTATAAATCCAATCTCTTCTTCTTCTTTGGCTACCTGTTATGGGTTGCAACATCTCCAGTGGAACGTTTACTCAACGGGACTGTGGAATCATATATGAAGCGCTGTAGTACAGTGCGACCAAAACATGTTGCACACTAAAATCAGTGTTGACATGTAACCCAGCCTGCCAGTGATTAAAATTGGGGGCCCCAAATGGGCGGTCCTTGGGGGAGGAGGGTCCGTCCTAGCTTGCACTGTGTGGCAGATGGACATCTGAAGGGATAACTGGCAGGCAGCAGCTCCACTGACATCAAAGGTGCTTCCCCCACCCCTTTCCTCTCTCTTTTTTTTTTTGGGGGGGGGAATCCTTTAGCACAAGGAAATAGTAAACTGTAGTCTCCAATCCATAGAGATTTCATTAGAAATAAGCAATGTTTGGAAAAGTGGAAGGGGGGGGGGGGGGCGTAAATACAGTGATGGACTGCAATCTGACCTTGGGCTTGTTGTCTTAACATGTAATATACATCAACGTATCTTACTCTCAGTATGGCCAGATGTGAGGATACGTAAATCCAGAGACTGGAACCGTGAACAGATGAGACAGACCTTTCTACAAATTTGAACAGTGTCCCCAGGTTTTCAGAAAAATCTGAAATCCAGAAAAAGTACACACACACCCCAGTAATAGAAGCAGGACCTGTAGCTTTAAGAAATAAATACCATTAGAAGCCATTCCTTGGCAACCAATGGTATAGTCAGCCTTCAAGTCTTGATTTCCGTCAGTAAAATGCAAAAGGAGAGGACAGGGCCCTCTGCAGCCAGTTTTGGTCCTTGAGGGAAAAGGTGGAGCTAGGGCTGCCATACCGCACGGGGGGGGGGACTTAAGGGCCGTCACATCTTAATCCTGGCGACAGCGGTGCAACGAGTATCGCTGTCCCCCCCGCGGCAGGGATCCTGTGACGATGCTCAGATCCCCCGCCACGGTTTGGCAGCCCTAGGTGGGGCAGACTCAGAGAGAGAAAAGCACCTGGGGGGGGGGCTCAAACCCCCCCCCCAAAAAAAAAGAAGGGAGGGAGAGTGGGAGAGACAGTCGGCCTTCCCTGCCCCCGCCCTGTTTGCTGGGTGCCACCTCAGGCAGGGCTTGGGCCCACACCTCCCTGCCTCACGTGGGCCTCGGGCAAGCCAGACACAGCCGCCCATCTGCCACAGGGCCGGCCCAGGCCTGGTGCCCATAATGGCTGACCAGCCCCTGGGGGGGAGAAGTCAAGGCCCCCTCAGGCTCCGCCGCTTGCTGCTGTTCAGAAGCCAGTGTGGTTATGGGGTTAACGTTCCAGACCCGGATCTGGGAGACCCAGGTCTGAATCCCCGCTCGGCCACGGACGCTCACCTTGGGCCAGTTGCTCTCCCAGCTCTGCGTCCCTCGTAAGGTTCTTGTGATACTAAAATGGAGGAAAGGAGAATGAAAGGTGCTTTGGGTCTGCACGGTGGAGGAAGGAAAGGTATAAATGAAAGAATAAATACAGCTGGGGGGGACAGACAAGGTAGTGGGTGGGAAGGACAGAACAAAACAGAGGAAGGTGAGGATGTGGGTGTCGCCAGGCGGAGGGAAAGATGGAGTATTGTGGGGATGGCTCCTCACCACACAACGGGGCTCGACCTGATGGCCGGCATTGTGCAAGCGGGCTGCAGTTTTCTCAGGGAGAGGATGCCAGGGGGAGAGAAGGAAAGAGAGCTGTGGGGGTGGGGGCAGAGAAAGATCGATCGGCTGGTGGGTGGGAAGGAGAGAAGGAAGCAGGAAAAGTGGAGAAGCTATGGGGGCTTTCAGGGAAGGGAAGGGAAAAAAGAAATAGTGTGTGGGGGAGAATGAGATCCCCCCCCCGCAAGTCCTTGCAGGTCCCCTGTTTGCAAACATACTAAGTTTAAGACGCATCATCTTATTTCTTGTTCTTTATTTTACAGAGTGAAAATGTCAAAAGTTACATGTGAGTTTACATTCAATAAGGTACAGGTCTACTAGGAAATACAAACATGGTATCCTTTAACATATTTATATGGGATTGAACTCATTTTTTAATGCAAAAGAAAAATTTGGCACATAGTTTATTGCTTTTTATGCATTCCACACAGCAATGATAGCATTATTCAAAAAGACTTCTTCAACACAGAACTATGCTCAATATTAAAAATTTCTAAATGAGAAGGGGAAAAAACAATTGGCATTTCTGAGCGGGCTGCAATGCTGAAATATATTGGAAGGGAATTAAGCCAGAAGAGGAACTGACCATGTTTGTTCTACTACAGACAGAAGAAAAAGACTTGAGTGTGCCTACAAAAAGAATGAAACTTTTGACATGTCCACTGGGAAAGATCACATTCAGAACATGAACAAAAGGCTGATTAGTACTTAGGTCAGTGATGGCTGACTCGTCTGTCAGTTCTTGTGGGGCCAACTACCTGCGGGGGCTGGGCTCGTGGAGGGAAAGCGGGGCACAGTCCAGGTCTGACTCGGACCCCCGGGCAGATCCACAAAACCCTCCTTGCTTTGGTCTAAGCGGGCCACCAACCCCACTGCTTGTGCCGCAGGCTGGCCTGCACTGTTCTTGCCACTTCTACCGATTGGAGAGTTAATTTAATGAGCCTTTCTAATGTGTCTGGACAGGTCTTTAAATAGCAAACAAGGAACACTTGAAAAAAAGTTGCCAACACAATAAAGCTTCAAATCCAAACGTGCACCTACAATTCTAGGCTTGTCTAAAACCCCTCTCCCCACCCCCACCCTGCCTGCTTGCATGGAAAAAAGCATGGCTTAGATTCCCCACCCCCACCCCTCACCATGCTATCTGAAAACTGCAGTGGGCGCAGAAAGAAACTGAATGTGCAGCCCGCACTGTTTCCCTTCACTCAGACCTAAACATCTTTATGTGGTGGTTCCACTGAGTTACACGGAAAGCAGTTCCTATTAAGGACGCTTAGGATCGCAGCCAAAACCGTTTACAAGTTAGGGAATGTTGAACAATGCTGCGATCATGCAACACGGGAAAACAGAGACACCTTTAATCTGATACAAAAGAGATAAATCCTAACGAAATTGTTCCTCCTGTCTGATCAGACAACTTACAGTAGGGGAGGCTGTATCTACAGTGAAGAGCAGCTGCCTGGTCTGGCCAGAAGGGCTCCATCACTCCTCAGAATGCCTGACCACCTTTTGGTCTTGCACAGACACTGACCACTATCATCCACCATTAAAATATACACCCCCTTGTGTTCCAGTGCACACCCATAGACAAGATTCTCTAGCCACAGTGGAAACGCAGTGAAAGTCTGTTCACACCTATGACAAAACAACGATTCAGCATGCCTCGTTGCAAAGAACTTAATTACCACTTTTTACATATCTGGTACATTGAGCAAAAACAGGCCAACTTTACTTGTTTCTTGGTACCCCTTTTTTGAGCTGAAGGCCAATTTTAGGTGTGTCGGATCAGATCATTTCTACTCACGGCAATGGGGATTGCAAAATGTGGTTTAGTTTTTGTGTTAAAAGCACATTCAGTAAAATGCATGATTCTCCCCCACGCCCAAACCTCTGCACACCCCAGGAGAATTTCTAAATTGCAAGAAGGTACCTAAAGTTGGGTTTATGAACAGAAATTTGTGTTAAAGCTCTAAAGCAATGCTGATATGCACTTGGCTTTAAGCCCATTAATGGTCTGTAGCAAGTTTTCATTTTCTTGTTTTTCCTTTTTTTTTTTTTTGCAAAGCAGTTATCAGCAAACAGAAGCAATTACACCATAAATATAAGTAACCTCTAAATTATCCATAACAATGAAACGTTCCATGAAGAGCTCCCTCGGTACCTTCAGCTCACCCAGGCCAATCCCTCTAAGCCGACTTCTCAGCCGCTTCCGTCTCTTGCTCAGACAGTTTCTCTTCGGAGAGGACCGTCATCCACGGAGATACAGAGCGCGTGATGGTCTGTTTGGCCAAATTGTAGTGGTTTATGACGGTATAAAATTTCCCTCTCGCACTAGAGTCTTGTTCAGAGTAGTAGTTTTCTAATCCAGCCGGGATGCACTGATTGTTCTGAAAGACAATGCACCCTTTGGATCACACCATCAGCAAACAATGAACGACATTATTTTGAATGATGCATGTGACGTATGAGCCAGCCAAAATACAGCACTCTTAAGCCCCCCGCCCATTTCAGTGAGGAGAGACTGGAA